GCCAGCCAGCCACCAAAAGTACCCGGCGGCTGGCGGAATCAGCCACCTAAAGTATCCAGCGGAGTTAGCCAGTAGGCAGCCAGCAGAAGTATCCGGCGGAATCAGCCAGCCAGCCACCTATCAAAGTATAGCCATTAAGCCTAGGCTTCGTGGGGGGTACAGCCATTTGACAGGCGTCCAAAAGCGCGTCAGAAAAAACAGTCTTGACATGTCTTGACTATTCTTGACTTTTGTTGATGATTTTCATGCGCATTCATCTTCACTACCAAATGAGTAGGCCTTTCCAGGCCGCGCCCCATTTTGTAGCAATCAGTGACCTTGGCCCCCTCCATTTTGTATAATTGGCCTATCCCCTCCCTACAAAATGAGTCCGTTTTTTTGGGAGTCATTTTGTAGGGATGGGACGTTGGTCGCTGACATTTTGTAGTGATTTTTACTACCAAATAGGGACCCCGACCCCTCACCCTAAATATCAACAGGGATGGATCAAATTAATATATTGATGGGGGACCGGCCCTTGTGAGGGGTACCCTTTGTGAGCTTGTCAAGTGATTGTTTTTGGTTGCTTTTTAATAAGGCAATATATAGGCCCTGAGCCCTAGACATTTTTTTTGGATTTCATCAAAAAGTAGTAGGTAGTTGGTGGTAGGTGGTGGTGGTCGTAGTAGTCGTAGTCGTAGTGGTAGTCGTAGTCGTAGTCGTAGTAGTAGACGTAGTAGTAGTAGTAGTAGTAGTAGTAGTTGTTGTTGTTGTTGTTGTTGTTCTTGTTCTTGTTCTTGTTCTTGTTCTTGTAGTTGTTGTTGTTGTTGTTGTAGTTGTTGTAGTTGTTGTTGTAGTTGTAGTTGTAGTAGTAGGTGGTAGTAGTAGTGGTAGGAGTAGTGGTAGTAGTAGTAGTTTGTATGTAGTAGTAGTAGGTAGTTGGTGGTAGGTGGTGGTGGTCGTAGTAGTCGTAGTCGTAGTGGTAGTCGTAGTAGTAGTCGTAGTAGTAGACGTAGTAGTAGTAGTAGTAGTAGTAGTGGTTGTGGAGTAGTAGTAGTAGTAGCAGTAGCAGTAGCAGTAGCAGGTAGCAGGCAGCAGGCAGCAGGCAGCAGGCAGCAGGCAGCAGGTAGCAGGTAGCAGGTAGCAGGTAGCAGGTAGCAGGTAGGAGGTAGCAGGTAGCAGGTAGCAGGTAGCAGGTAGCAGGTAGCAGGTAGCAGGTAGCAGGTAGTAGGTAGTAGGTAGTAGGTAGTAGTAGTAGTAGTAGTAGTAGTAGTAAAACTATTGGGCTCGGTTGTGGGCTCGGTTTAATTGCGGGGGTTCTAGATGACAAGTACACTATTAGGGGGGGAAATTTAGCTCCAATACTACTTTCAATTTGGGTGAATTTTCGGGGCTGTGTGGGCTCGGTTTAACTAGCGGGGGTTTATTAATTCTACCTCTACATCAACACCTTGCCTGTAGGACATCACAGACTCATAGATCTCTAGAGGTCGTTTGCTGCATTTGTGGTGATGTCTCTACTGTTTCCAGTTCCAGCGCGGAAGATAAACCTGAAACTTGCCGTTGGACCTAACCTTGGAAATCAATAGTAGGTCGGGTTGCATCTTCTGTGCAGGTACCAATCTCACGTTTGGTGCAAGTCTTCGACAGTCTGGGCTGTGTGCTTTGTTTAGGCGTGTTTAGGTCAAAATCCATCACAATCCTTTATGTCTTCAGACACTGCACAGGTGCCCCATCCTTTATTTCAATCATTTTCTCCGATCCTTTAATTCAATAATTTGCTCCGTTAAAGCTGCCGTCTCAAGCCCTAAGTTTGTTCTTTATCAATTGAGAGGCAAGCATTAATTGCTTGCGGACCCTCTATACCCATACCCTCCATGTATTATGGAATATATGTCTACATTGACCCCCCAAACCACCCCAATGCATATATTCCATACATGGAGCGTTTGGGATATACTCAGATTCTACTCGTACTTTGCCCAAAAATGGACCCGGACCCATGGCTGCGCTGGCCTTGCTCCGATTTCTATTCCTTCCCTCGCTCCAACCCAACCCAGGACCGACGACGTCCTGAAGCTGCTGGAGCAGGTTCCGAGTTCCGAGCCGATGAGAGACGGAAGCTCGACTGCTGGAGCTCCAAAGATGCGCGTGGTGAATTGTTATGAGGTTGCTGATTTCCTTTTGGTCTGTGTGTGTGGCTTGTTGCGTTGTCTTGTTTATTGTTGGTGGCTCGTTTAGGGATTGGAAGGAAGAAACTGGAAACACGCGGAGTATATCAGAGTGTCGCTTCCTTTCGGGTCAGCACACGAATCACTTGGTTTGTGGACGTGAGCTCTTTTGCACGTCAGGCCACTGTCAGGTGAGCGACAGCGACTTGATCCGCCATAAAGGTTTGCCCATTCCAGCGGAGCCTTGCACTTGGTCCCTTTGTTCAATGGGAAACGCAACAATAAAGAATCATCCAATAGCACAAACTACTCGCCTGAGGGAACCTCGCCTGATGGAACTTGGGCATTGGCTCATGTTGGCTCAGCAAAAACGTTCAAGCAGCTTTGCAAAGACGGTGTTGGCAGCATGTTGGAGAAACTGACACTGCTGGTGAGGGCACAGGGGCTTCGACAAGACTCCTCTCCTGTGTTCAAATTGTGTTCCAGGTCTATTTCAATAGGTCGTGGCTTTGGTTGAACATCAAGGGGGAACACAGAAGTATCAGCCAAACCCAAAAGTTTGGTCGGATCCACCTTTGAGGTCGATCGTCGATCAGCCCGAGTTTCCCCCCTCTCCAAGGCAAATGACACAAGTGGTTAGTCTCAACTAGTGAAGAAGATGAATTTCCCCGGTTCAGTGGAGTTCATCACAAACCTATGCAATGACATATATGTGATACATATATGTTATATAGTATAACAATTGTTTGATATGTTGTAAGACACATAAATGGATAACATATATACAGCACTGGAGATTTGCAATTTGCAACAGATGCCTTGCAGCCGCCGCATTTCTACCAATTGGGGTGCATTCTGTTGCTGCTTGCTCAATGATATTTCAAAGGCTCAAGCCCAACTGCATGCCAGCGCTAGGCTGCAGCCGCCCAGCTTGCTGCTCTCGCAAGTGTTCCTGTTGATGACCTCATTGATAGCAGTCATTTGGAGTGCGCGTCCGCAAAATTGCTACAAGCTGATGGCAGAACTTACGGCGGGCAGCTTTCTGTCACCTTGCACTGTTCCATGTCAAAGAATTGGGCGCGCGCTGCCACCGGTGAAACTCGTTCCCTTCTGCTTTGGACATCCTTGCTGCCTTGACTTTTTTCGCAACTCCCGAATGCAAATATTGCGAAAAACGGTCTTCACAACCGGCGCCAAAATCGAGGCCGAAATCCTGGCGCCATTTCCCTTCCACTGTCACAACGCGGCCAACATTTTGAGCCCTCCTGGCGGCATCGCTTTTTGATCCTCTTTTGTGGAACTTTCGCCGCCTGTCCGCCCATCCAACCTATGCATGGGCCAAGCATTTACGTTGGCGGCAATGCTTCCGGGCATGTCTGCCACCCTACTGCGTGATCTATTTTTGCCGTTGCCCTTTCTTGCTGTCGTAGTCAATTAGCTTCTCGTGTGCTTCTGTTGCAAACTTGCCTTGGCGCAATAGAGCATCCAAGTTTGCGAGCGCTTTTTTTATTGACAAGGCTTCTATCCAACAAACCCAAGTCAGTCATCATTGGAGGTGTGCAGTGGACGCCGCGCAGCCTGTTTACTGGCAGGGCAAGAACACTACTGTAAGTGTAGCGGTCGCGACGTCACTAGCTTGCACGCTTGCTTGCTGACACAACACACACACACACACGCAATCAGGGCCCACCAGTTGGAAGCTGATCTGCAAGCCGAATCGTGGTCTCATTTGTTGGACCTAAATTGCAAAAAACAAAACGTTGCAAAAACCCATTCAAAGGAGGCGTTCTTTTGAGAATTGGCAGGACCTGCTTTGGTGGCCCTGTTGTCTTGCAACGTTTTATTTTCCCTTTGCGGGACTGCAGGAACCACAGGTTGAGTGAAGAACGAAAAGTGCACCAAATCTTGCGCAGCCGCAAAAATAAGACATTTGAGGTCACAAAATGTCACCCTGACACGCCGCGCTTACACCAGCAGGCTTTCCGTACCAAATGCTGCGCCTGCCACGCAAAGTGGAACTATAGAGGTCCACCAAATGCTGCACCCGCGACGCAAAGTGGAACTAGAGGTTTGCCAAATGCTGCGCGCCACAAAATATTATCAAATTAGCAGTTCACCACTTGGTGCTTGCCATGAAAATTGAAGTTTCGATTTTCACCAAGTATGGCGCTTACTGTGCGAGAATTCAAAGATATTGCAGTGGAGAAGGACGCCCAAAAAAACATGCACATCACCGTGCCTGAACTTTATACCCGCGTGTTCAATAAGATTGTTTCCACGCCCGTCACACCATGTGGACATCTTTTTGCGCGCTGCCCCTTTCAACGCCTGTATTTGGGAGTTTGCTTCTGGGCCCTTAAAAACTGGTGTTTTTTGGCTTCAGCATGGTGTACCCTCACAGTATATATTAATATTATTTATATAATACATAGAGATGAACGATGTTGATAAATAGAATATGGATATCTATATATATATATATATGTATGTATCTTTTTGATACTTTGTGTGATACATTTAAACATGTATAAACACAGACATGTACCTCAGATGATGTATACATATGTATATTGCAACATCTATTTGATATACCTTGATGCATACATATATATTCATGTAAATAGACTAGAGAGAGTGAGAGAGATGTATAATATATATACTTACAGATATACACATGATACATATTGAGAACTGTTTGCTTGATATATCGTGAGATGTATATATATATATATTTTTTACTTCTGGCCAATCTCCTTTTGTGGTGGGGCGAACATCTGGCTGTGAGGAACTGAGCAAACTTGTAGCTTGGAGGTTTTGTTGAAACAAGCTTGCAAACTTTCTGAATCCAGCAGTGCAGGATTTGCGCGAGCAAAGTACAGAGTCTTGGTGTTTTGGTGTCAATTCCTGAAAATTATATGAAGGGTTGGAACATGGAGGACTTCAATTGTTAGAACGTCAAACACACTCAGAGACATAGAGACACCACAACATTGAATTCCCAAGTATTGCCAGTGGGAACTTACCCTCGAGAGCCGCAGATCCGTTTATTTTTGCGTCTGCCCATGTGTTCCATCAATATTCCTGCTGCGAAAGCAGACGGAGAGCGCTGGCAGCAGTGGCGACAAAAGACCAACGTCTGCGCTTGGGGGCTTGCCGATGTGCACACCTTAGCCTTTCCCAAACATTTGCAACAAGTCTTCGGCATTTTTATGTGATTATACAAGAGCTGAATCCACTCAGCCAAAAAGAACGGAATACATTCTACCTTTTGGATTCTTTTGGGTCGATACCATCCCGGACCATGGCGGGTTCCCGGACTCGGCATTGAGAGGACCCATCCTTCACACCTTCCATTGAGAACATCGTGGGCGCCTGAGAAGTGTTCCGTGCTTTTTCAAGTTCGGTGTTTCATGAAAAACACTCTCCCCACCGTGGAATTTACTGTTCTCTTGTCTTGTAGAGGTAAGACATGAATTCATCAATTGAATGTATAAGAGGTTTCCAGAGTCCATCGTTGAATTTCATGTGCTTCTCTCAAGGTCCGGTGTCGGTCCTGTCAGTGTGCTTTCGAGCTATCGGACACTCAGATCACCCAGAGTGGCCCCAACGAGCTTGGGAAGAACGTGGCAGAGCTCTCCAGGGTGGATGGGCGGCGAGGGAATGGGTTGATTATTGTGGAGGATGTTTTGAGATAGACAGATGACAGATGAATCTATTTGAGACGGACATTGTCTTTGTGATAGGTTGGGAGAACTTACAAATTTGGCGGTGCATGAAACATGTTATACTTTATGTGTGTTTTTGTTTTGCCCTAGCCCAGTGGACGTCCCTGGGCTGTCCAACATGCGTGGATTCTGGGGTCTGCAAGTTTGGCAACTTTGGCGGCCCTACGACCCTACAACTTCCCTGTTGAAAGGGCAGAGGGTTTGATGGAATTGTGCAAATTGAGTGCCTGGAGAAAAGGGCCTGGAGATCGCGCCTGAATGCTGGAACTTTAGCAGGAAAACCCATCCATTTGCTTGGTACAGGTTCTTTTTCCTCAAGTTTGGAATGCAAACAAGGCTCTACAATTCTGGAACGATGCTCTCAGGCCAATTGCAGATGAGTGCTGAATATAGGAGGATCCCTATCATCTGAGGTGCAATTTGACATTCGACCACACATTGCCCAGCGTCCCTTTCTCCCCCCCCAGAGGACCTTTCACTGGGATTGCTTCTTGGACCCCGCCGCCAGTCGCTGGGGACGCTGAAAGACGACGTGAATAGCCCGGGAGTCCGAGGTGTTTCGTTGCCTGGGTGAAGTGCTGGAGCAAATTGGCCTCCTCAATGCTGACACAGGAAAGCTGTTTGTTTGGGGGAGAGAAGATGATAGAAGGCACAACTTTTGTCTTCATCATGACTTCCTCTCAAATGATGCAGTCTTAATTAACCATGAAAATGTCTTGGCTGTCTCGAACAGATGATAGAAGTGAGGCGGGTGTACTGGGTGTGTCTTAAAATCCGACCTCCCAAAGCTCCCAAAGGCCCCCCTGGAAGAACCCAAACCCATTGGGCCAGGGGTGGCACGACGTCCTTATGATCTGAACGAACCCACAACCGGCCCCGTAGGCCGTGTATTAATCCATTGGTTGGGGATCCCACTACTAAAACAAATACACACCCATACCAGGACACCCGGACCAGGGGCTTCTATTGAGAGCCCCTTAGATGTTAAGGGGTGTCCATCAACCACCCCGACCGTGGGTCCTGGTATTACGTACTGCATTTGTATGCATTTGTATAGTATAGAAGTCGTGGAACAACCATCTTTGGAGGGAAAAGGATCACTCCTGACAGTCGGCATTTGGGTGAACCATTTCTGTAGAAAAAATGGTAGGTGCAAATCCCAAAAAGCAAGAAGGCATAAAATAATATAAGGAGTGTTGTCAGAGTGATCCTTTACCTGATGGTTCCAAACCTATTAGTAACCCCCGCAATTGAATTGAAATACCTCTTCATAAGGGGGGGTTTATTGATCAAGAGTCTGCATTATTCTTCGCTGGTTTTACACCTCTAGGGCGATCCGCTCATGAGCTGAGCAGCGCGAGCATAAGTGGTTTCGAGCACGGGTGGTTTCTTCTGCACCTGTTGCCACCAGTAAAAACACCTGTTGGAGGAAACACCAGGTGCACTGGTACGGAGTCTTCGGGTGCACGGAGTCTTCGGTGTTTGGAGTGGGGATACGTTCGTTCGGTGCAAGGCTGTGCCAGACAGCGAGAGACTTCCCGTCACCAAGGCCATCTTTCCCAAGACCGTATTGCTGCCATGACCGCAGAGGCCGGTGGCGAAGCCAAAACCGAGGAAACACTGGCTTGAAAAGACCGTGGGTCCTGGTGAGCTGTTGTTTTGTTTATTGTTAGTGTGGATGACACATTGATGTTCGTAGTTTGTGTTAATTCATGGTTATTCATGTTGAAAATCATTTGAAA